GTCTCTGTAAACACAACTGTCCTTCAAAGCAAAGTCTCGTTGAGACCAAAACACCAGAATGAAGACTTTTATCCACTTTTTGGAAGACAAAGAGAAAAATCATAAATCATGCACATGGAAATTGTTGAATTTGTTTCAATTTATCGCGCATTTAATTGATTGCTGTCTTGTTGTGGCAAGCCTGCGTCGATAGCCAAAATGTCAACACAGATGTGGGAGTTAAGAAATAATTCTGGGTGCAACAACCGGCCCGGGTGGAGGAAGTTTATCAAGTTGTCAGTAGTTGCTTCATCTCCAGCTCCAGCCTTGGATGAACAAAGTATAGGACCAGAATTTCTCGTCTGCCAGCTTGAACATATCACACGAGTGCTCTCAAACTGACCGCTAATGCTAACATTTATTAAGAAAAACAGTTTCTTCATCTGGAAGCCAGTTGGAGTTCAGAGCTGACAGAGTTCTAGGAAAGGATGTGAACATCAGTCATGCTGTCATGGCTGAATGGTCATTTCCAGCAGAGTAATCTAGTTAGTAGAAGCAGCTCCATTAACCAACTCTCTACTGTCAGCATAATCAGGAAGGTTAAAACAATGTTCAGCCAAACAAAACTTAGCATGCAGTCATTATAGATCATGATGAACTTGTTTGACATGTGACATTTCACTGTCCATGTAACAGTGGCCATGTTGCAGCACCGGCTGCAACTGATCGGCTCACACTTTCACTCAAATTTAAAACAGCCAATCACAGCTCAGTGAGTGGCTGTACAAAACTGCCATCCATCTAGGCTCCCGCTCTAAAAATGAGTTGGTTCTGGTAGATTTAGTAGGTATTTACTGCTCCCTGTCTGTGTTTAAAAAGAAGAAACTGTAGTGAAGCTGATGTTTTTTGTCCTACAACGCACATCATCCAGATCTGATGCTGGAGTGTTTACTCTGATTCATACTAGAACAAATACAACATTTTATTCAATATCTAGACTGATACTGATATTAATTTTGGCCCTTCTCCAGTTCAAAGGTCAGCATCAGGTTTGAACTGGCTTGAAGTGAGGACAAACAATGTTGAGTCTCACCTATGAGGTCCAGCTCTGTCACGTTGACCTCGACTTTCAGTTCCTTGAACAAGTCCTTCACCTGCACACAAACAGGTTTACACTTTGAAACAAACATTTTATGAGTGATAAAAATATTCAAAAGGGATCCGTTTCCATTGGAGTGGTTTCTAATGGAAACAGAAAAACTACCACCGGTACCAAACAGAACCAACATGTAAGCCTGTTACAGTACCAAATGATCAAATAATTGATATTATCTGACGGAACCTTTCAAAGCACTTTAGGTCACCGAACAAAAAACAGAAATAATAAAATAAGTTGTCTCCCCCCCATCAGGATTGCAGCTCTATTCCACAGGACTGCAAAAGCATCTCTGTGGATCAGAAACGTTGCAGACAATTGGTCTAATCCAAACATACATCAGCATTTTGTGGGCTAAAATACCGTTTTTGTCAGCAGACGGTCACCGCACAACATTTGACACACAGCAACACACTCCACCCATAAAGCTGTGAGAGTATCCACTGCTTTGCAAAAGGACTGGAATTTTTTTGTGATGGAACAACATAAAGTATTATATTTACTGTGGAGTGACAGAAAATTTATATTTTTTAATCAAATACAAACCTGAGGAGTTTGGGAAAGAAGCCCACGTGTGTGTAAATGAATGAGACTGGTAAGCTGTGAGAGAGGTCAGGAACATCGCTGAAACTAAACATTACTCTGACAACCTGATTTTAAAAAGTCAGTCTGCTGATTTTTCATCCAATCCTTTTTCATACAATACTAGAAAATGCATTTTTAGAATATCAAATTAAATCCATTTCTATATAAGAAAAAAATGTTTTTGCTTGAAATGTAGTAAAGAATGAATCTGCAGCTAAAAAAAAAAAGTATACTTCTAACATGTAAAGTGAAGCTACAACTTTGCCAATTGAGGATTTTTTTTTAATCAAGTGTTTTATTATCATTTTTAAATGTAAAATGTAGAGACGCTTGTATAGTTTTGGCTTAGTTACAGCTTTATGTGTGTTCTCTCAGCAAATTGCCTTTTTTCAGCCTGTATACTCCGGTTAACCATTTATCAATTACTAAATCTGCTGCAAAGTGTTTAAAAAAATATATAAATAAATAAATAAAATCAGTTTATAGCAATTTATTCAACTAATCACTTTAGCATATTTAGTGTTAGAATGTCCTCTACGTCTTACTTATAAAAACATTTGATAATCATGTTTGTTTCTTTTTGCTTCACACTTATGGACTTCTGTGTGTTATATCCTTATATTATATACATTGAGATTTTTAGCTCCAGTGTAAAAACTTATTTTGTTAGGTTTGACTAGGTAGCCAAAATATTATTTGAGTATAATCAATCAGAATAATAATGTTAGCCCTGAATCTTCATTAAATAAAAATATTGATCATGGTTCATGAACTGTCGGGAAGTAAAAAACAACTTACTACATCCCCCCCCCCAAAAAAAAGAGAATTACAGGAAAGTCTTCTTTTTGAGGAGTTTCTTCTTTATTTAGATTACTATTAATTAATGACAAAATGCTAAAAGAAATGTGTGGGTTTTTTTTTAATAGAATACGCATCTAATGGTGACATATGCGTTATGGTACGTCGCTACAAAAACATGTCATAGTTAACTTCCACTCCTTGACAAACCCTGTGTGAAAACAGGTTGTCTTAAGCCTCAGATTAAAAAAAAGAAAAAAGAAGTAGTCAGGTATGCAAGCAAAAGTTTTGCCACATTTATAGACAACCTGCGAATACGAGGTTTGCTCTGTTTCAGATTAACCACTGCATTTAGAGACGTGAACAGGCAGATAACCTATATTAAGTTTGGACTGCGTCTTAAAGAGACAGAGAACGAGCGGCAGCATCGACACAAAGCTCCAGCAATTAGGCCGAGCCCATCCCGTGCGGTTCGCGGGTGAAATATCGAAGTTTCCGACCCGGTCTACTCATTTAGGTTAAGCGAAATTTACTTACCTTGATACAATATGGACAGTAGGTTTTGCTGAAGACCACCACTTGGTTAGAGTCAATAAGCGTCTGTATCTTAGTTTTGAGTTCATTTTTACCGGTGTCTTTTTCGATGGGAGGCATTTTTCAGCTATTTCCGTCTGCTTGCCTAAATCAAGCTCGAATAGACGGTTTTCCAAAAATAATAAACTAAATGCCAACTACCTGCATCGGTTACTTCTGCGTCCTAATAATGCCCCTAAAGTCTATGAGGGGCGATAAAACACCAGACACAAAAGGACAGTGAACCTGCCCTCGAGTCCTGTCGCTGCTCTGAAAGCAGGTAGTAGTCTGTCAGCCGCGCCAACAGTCTACAGCATTTTCTTGTCTAACTCCTATGGGTGCGCTTGTTTATGTGTTACCGTGTTCACCGTGCGGTTCATAGTGAACTGTAGGGAACTGGAACAACCCCGCCCACGGACCAAATTGTGTGATACAAAACGAAGGTACTATGAGATACGTCACAGCGTCACACACGCCCATGTAGGAACGCATTACTCAACTGACGTTCAAGCGAGAATACTGTGGAAATAAACTCAGTTATGTAAAGAAATATTAAATCTTACTTGTTAGGAGAGCCATATGAATATCAAGCCTTATAAAGATAAAGATAAAATGTCCCAACTTTACAAAAGTAGCGCAAAAAAGCGGAGCTGTAAACTTTATTTTGTTATGAACTAATATTGTGTAGGGTAAGAAAGAAACGTCAGACATGATCAACGCTTATAGCATTTTAGCACCACTCGTCTCTATCGATGATCTCCCCAAAACAGTGGAGTCTTTCGCCACCTGCTGGTTAAAACACGGTAAAACAAAAATTGTATACTGCAACAATCACTTCAGTTTTGGCCAAGAGCCAAAAATATTGACTTCCAATCTTTCTTTCAATAATGTGAAACTGACTAAAGACTTCATTTGATTATGTGTAGTTGGTTTTGATGTATTTAGGTGGAAATTTGAGGAAACATGAGAGGTAGTTCATTACACTGAACTTATTACAAAAGTGAGCTATAAGAGATATAATCAAGGAGTCTGTCATTGGGGGGACGTATATCAGAAACCTGACTGATCAGTAAATAGCCTGAGCAGAAATGTCATAAACAATTATGTCATCAACACATCAGTAACACTTTACTCTAATCTGGTACCTTGTTTCAGTAACAAGTATTCTAACATGTTACTATTTACAATCCAATAATCAGATTAAAGTTATTCATCCATGAAGCACAATGAACACTCACTTCATCATTTGCCTGACAACTAGCAAGCTAAACACTCTGGTAGAACACACAGGCTACCAGAGTCTGGAATATTTTATTGGTCAAAAGACATTTGATTATTGGTGAAAATGAATTGATATAAATTGACTGGGAATTGAACAGGTTCTGCCTCTTTCTAAAACCAAAGTAAAACAAACAAAACAAAACAAAACAGCTCATAAAATAGTTTTAAACTCAATACAGCAGTTTGACCAACAAAAATAAAATCTAAAAAAAACAAGTTTTGTTCTTCTTGGACAACTCTCTACATCAGTGCAACAGTTTGATCTACAAAATAAATAAAAATGACACTTTTCACATCTGACAGACACCTTCACTCCTCACTGATAACTCAGTCACTTTCCAGCCCTGCATTCAGCAACTTACCAAACATGAGCCATGAAAAACACTGAGGCAAAAAATACTAAATGTTTTTTTTTTCTCCTGTCATTTTCAGCACAAACATTTAACTAAAATATCAACTGATATGTGTTACTGTCTCTGCCTCCCTCTGACTCTGCAGCCTGATGAAAAACTGGCACCTTAATCAGCCACACAAGCGGGTACATTCAGGTGCTGCAGTGAAAAAGCCACTGAATCCTAAAAGCAATTAGAAATCATGTCAGAAAAACCAGTAGCAACAATATAATAAAAAGTGTGCTGACATTACACAGAACCATCCACAGGTGACATCAACTATCCACTTACCCTACCAGCAGCGCAAATATTCCTGATCCAAATCCTGGCAGCAGCTCGACGAGCCCAGCGCTCATCTGACCCAACTGGCCACGACAAAAGACCTGACATTTGTAGCTTGGTGGGCAACCAAGTTACTATCGGCACTAAAGAGCCTGACAATGCTATGAAAAGGAAGTAACAGGGCATAGATGAATTCAAGGGCATTTACAGCCACTGTCATGCAAACACTGTTTTCAACTACCCAATAACACCTGCTCTCTTTTTCCATCCTTTTCACTTTGCTGCTCCATGGAGCTCCACTCATGTTGACTTAGCCCCTAGTTTTAGCAACCAGGAGTCAATAATGACTGGGGCAGCGTAACCTCCTGGGGCCCCATCATGTACCCATCAGGAGAGAACCGCTTTCTCCAGCTCTCATCAGTGATAAAGGTTTGGGTCACTTCAGTCACATTTTGCCTCCCCTCCGGGCCGGGGGCCCCCGGCGGCCCCCAGAAGCTCCGTCACTGCCTCCAACCATAAAGCTGAGCCTGCGTCACGCTGCTGAATCAGAACCGCGTCACTATAGAGGAACGTCAATTACGGCCGTCGCCTCCAGGTGAGTCCTGCTGTTACCAGAAAAAAAGTGGAAAAGTTTTTCAACTATGACAGTAAATGTCTCTGGGACAGATCAGGACTCGCTGAACGGAACGACAAGTTCGAACAAGACGCGGAGACAGCCGCTGGTGATGATGATGATGATGATGATGATGATGATAATGATGATGATGATGATGACAGCTGGGATGACTCCGCTCCCGCTCAGCAGGTCCTGATCTCTGCCGAGTTGATTTCGTAAGTGTCTTGTTGCTCCACCTCCAGCGCCTTGAGCCGAACCAGGCGCGTCGCAGCGAGGAAGCGGCAGACGAGGCGAGACCAGAGGAGCGGAGAGATGGCCGAGAATAAAGTGGGTCCGAACCTCCAGGCTGGAGCTGGATTCCTCGCCAAGCGGGTCCAGAAGTCCTTGAACAGAGCACAGGAGAAGGTTGGTTGAAACCGATTGCTTTTTTCCCTTCTTCTTTTTTTGTGTGTGTCTCCATTTTTTTCTCATTAACGGGCGTTAAACTCCTTCCTGAATCAGTTTGCTGGACTAGATCTCTACCAGCCCTTTTGTTGAATCTTGTTGGGGTGCAGAACTTTTCTGTTCTGTGGTTCTGGACGGGTCTCCCAGGCAGAACATTCACCAGCTGCCGTTATTTCTAGTTGACTGATTAAAACATGCAGCAGCTCATCATGGATGGTCTCTGTTCCTCCAGAGAAAAGGCCAAACTTAATCTTATCAAATTTCAGTTTATGAGAATCCTAACTTTCTCACTTTCAGCTGCTCAAAAAGAAAACTGCTTTGGTTTGCTCTGCTCTGTGCTGTGAAGTTAGAAGCTGCTCCACTGTGCGGACGTACAAAAGTTGCCACTTCCTGACTGTTCACTTCCTCTTGTTGCTGACTTTCTCACTCAGTTTGAGGTTGACTGGTTTGATTTTTGGTGCTCTGTAGAAAAACAACAATGTTGCGTATTATATATGAGAGGCTTTGGTGAGGGATGATGTGACATATACATATATTTAGCAGACAGAAAAATGAAATTGGAGCAGAGGGGAAATTCAGAAGTGTTGTTTTACATGTTGAAAACCAGCTGTGTTCAGTGGAAGGTAAAAAGGCCACATTTATCTTGTTTGGCTAAGAATTTGCTGCATGTTTGAGTATCAGTGTGTCAGGACACCCAGCGCTGGACCAACTTATCTACTACGTCATTAACAGCTGGGCTGGAATTTTATATCTGCTGATAAAGTAGGTTAATATTTGCCATTAAATAAAGATCAGCCATTTGCTACAATAAAAAAAAAAAAAAAAAAAAAAAAAAAAAAAAAAACACAGACAATATGCGAGCAGCCGCTAAATGTCAGTATGTGGGGCTCCGCTCTTTGTGTTGCCTTCTGAACAATGAGTCTGGCCAGCAGCAGTAGACTGCAGGCGATCGGCTCTGATGGGTTTTAGGTTTCACTAAAACATCCTTATTTAGTTTCATACGTATCCAAACTAAGAACAGTTTCCAGTCTAAGCATTTCTGTCAGGAGCATATAGCAATCTATTGAAAACAGAAATTAAGAAAATCTGATAACCCATAGAGACATGTGTTAGAACGGGGGGGGCCCAAAGTGGGTCCTGGAGGGTCAGCGTCCTGCATGTTTTAGTTCTCTCCCTGGTATCAACAACCCTTTCAGCATCTAACAAGCCATTATTTGATCCAGGTGTGTTAAACCGGGGAGAGAACTAAACCATGCAGGATGCTGGCCCTCCAGGACCCATTTTGGTTCCTGCATTAGAAGAACCTGAAGTAAATTTGCTTCCATTTCTAAATATTTAAAAACTGGAAACCAAAAGATGAGCTGGAACTTATCTTCAAAAATGTTGCATTAAGCTTCACAAGTTGGAAAAGACCAACAATAAAAGGAATAAATGATCTGTTTGATAATGGAAGATTGAATTTGTTTATTTTATTTTTTCATGAAAGTGCGATTAATTGCAATTGATGAATTGCAGTCCATAAAATGAACTGGAGTCCCACCTCTACTACAAATACCTGGAGATTGGACATTGCATTCCTAAGAGAAAGAAGAATCTCACCTTTTTTTTTTAACCACAGAGAGCACAAACACTTTATATCAGATGTAAAAGATGTAAAATTTGAACTTGCATAAATGATTTAGGGAGCCTTGATTTAATGACATTGCAATGGTCTAAATAACATTAACCTGACTTTCCTATTTGAAGTGTCTTGGGTGAAAAAATAAGAAGCTTGTTTTAGGATTTCTGATGCTATATACCAAAATGTGCCAAAGCTTAACATTATTAGTGAACTTATTAAAAATCAGAGGCGATAAAAAGTCTTTGCCTTAAATGGCCTGCTGTCACTGGTCAACTGTAAAGGTTTAAGAATAGATATCGTTCTGCACTTTGTCCTCCTCTTCTTCACATTCAAGACAAAATGTTGATTTTGCAGCTTTATAACTCTGCATCACACCTTAATCATTTAAATGTCCAATTGTTTCCCAGGTTCTTCAGAAACTGGGCAAAACCATGGAGACCAAAGATGAACAGTTTGAGCTCTGCTTCCAGAACCTCAACAAGCAGCAGGTACTGACACACCTCCGGCCAATCAGAATGCTTCCAGTCTGTCCTAAGAGCTAGCTTTAATAGTAAGCTGTGAGGAGGCACGTCTTACAGCCTCCTCACAAATAATCTTGCGATTAGCGATCCATGGAGACTAAACAATCAGTCTTTTGTTTCTGATGTTGCAAAGAAGCCAACACACATGTTCAGACAATCAGCTTGGCCTTGATTTGAGGATTTGGAACATATTCCAGGACTTTTTTTTTTCCATTTCGTTTTGCTTAGTTTCAGTTCTCTGTAGCAGAAGGGTGAAGAGATTACTGTCATTTAGGAAGCGACTGTTTTTTCGTTTTCTGCAAATTCAGATTAATTCTGTAAGAGGAACCTTTTGGTATGTCAGACAAAAATAATTGAACACCCCATTTGTTATTACTGCAGCTTTGTTTAGGTGGTCTGGCTGTTGCTTTTTAGTTCATGTTAGCCAAATGATTCCAGTTGAATTACTGACTTAGTTTACTGACTTTATTACAATGTTAAGGAAAAAAAAAAACAAATCAAAGTTTATTTGTACAGCACATTTCAGCAATGTGGCAGTTCAAGGTACTGTTCAAGAAAATGTCTTCTTTATTATTATTATGTAATAAAGAAAACACAATGCAGTCAACAATTCAACAGACATTATAAGTTGCCATCACCAAAATCATAGACATCAAATATGTAGGTCAATGTTTAATTTATTATGGTTCAAAAGCAATTGTAAACAGCTGGGTTTTTAGTCTTGATTTAAACTGTTTTGCAGTTTTCTGGAAGTTTGTTCTAGATTTGTGGTGCATAGAAGCCAAATGTTGCTGCTCCTGAAAACACAACTTGGCGCCTTTCTTGTATAACATGGATACCACAGATGGACAAAGATGTGCAGGGTTTCCTTCAGTGTATAATAAGCCTGATGGGCCACCAGGCTTTACTTTAAAAAAGTGGCCAGTGACTGTTTAGAACATGATTAAACAATTGGCAATTATCACACATAATAATTTTTTATAATTGCTTCTAACTTGGGGTGCACTGATTGCAGTTTTCTGGCTGATCGCCAATTACCGATCTTTTAAAAACCCTAACTTACCAATTCCGATTTTGGTCGATACCATATTTTTTGTCTGAAATGTTTCCCAATATGTCAAGACAGTTGCTGAATTGGCAACAATGGGGTGATCATTGTTAACTGTAAATGTACAGACATGACCTGGTCGGCCGGTTTGTCAGTCAAATCTCTCTCTCAGGAGAAAAAGGCACAGTGGGTGATTTTTAGATCCTTGCTGAGGTTGATGACATTGGTGGATGAGATCGACTTCACATGTAAAAATCGTCCAATCACTGATCTCCCAAAATTAAGAAAATATTGGCACTCCTGCACCTAATTCCTACAAAACAAGCTCAACTAATTGAGTTATGTTATTTATCATTATTGTTGTGGGCTACGCACTAGTGTCCCCTGCAACCTGACACTAATTGAGCAGATGTACAAATTGCATGGATTGGATGTTGTTTATGACTGTTATTAATAACTAACATATGAAACCAGCGTAGGTAAGTCAAATGCAGTGCAATTTTCTGAGGTAAACAAAGCAGGTTTAAGTGTATTTCAAGCTCCTGAGGTTTCATACAGGTCATTCTGTCCTCTGTTTTATTTTCCGTTATTGATTTTCTTGTTCTCTAATGTTCATTTTTGATTGGTATAAATTTTTTTTAAGCAAATTTATTGGAATACAAACCAAATCAATCAAAACAAAGAAAAAAAAAACTGCATTGAATTAGTTTCTATGGGTAGGTTACCACTCATAATATGGAGGAGACACTTGCTTGTTTTAAAGGGACCGTGAAACTGAGTCTGTTCATCTGTGTCTGCTATGCTGTTTGAGCTAGTTTAACCATTAGCTTGTTGGCTAATGCTAGTAAAGTGGTCTCTGCTAACACCTGCTGACAAGCTTCACTTTTTCACCTTTCTCTTGTTGCTAACTGTTGTGGTTTGGTGTATTCTCCAGTTGCCCCTTTTAGCTAGGCTCTCTTTTGTAATGTAATGTGTAATGTTTGTTTTTCTGAGAGATAACAACTAAAGAACTGATATAAAAGAAAAAGTGTCAATGAGCAACAGGAAGGAAGTTCACAAAGTGACTCGCTTGCTGCTTTCACTTCATTATCTCAACTGTTGCAACTATTTAAACGCTAGCTACTACGATTCTCCCTCAACCCACTGTTTACATCCCTGCTACTGTTTTTTTTTTCATTTCTCATTTCTAATCAGAAACCTATGTGCACATTTTTAAATTATTCTGCCAGTTACTCATTTCTTTAAGTTTGATAATGATTTATTTGAAAACTTATATTTTTCTTAAGTTGGAAATTTGCCCATGCTACACAGTCTCTTATGCTTATTTTTCAGTTTTTTTTCAGCTTCATGTGACTATGCATGACTGCAGTTGTCACTGCCTCATCACTGTGCCTCATAACTGCTTAAAAAAAACAAAAAACAAAAATAGTGGTTTGGAGTGAAAACTGTGGAGAAAACAGAAAATGTTACACCATCAGTTTGGCAATATTTTAGGTATTTGGGGAAAATAATGTATCCATCGACAATTATTGATATTGCTGATATGAAAAATGTATATGCCGACAATTTTCTGAGCTATACTGTCCAGGATTGGACATCTGTGACTAGTGTTTTTTCAATAAATGACAAAACCTGTAACTGCCTCAATTGTTTGTAGAAAGTTGTGATATTCATATTAAATACAATAAATATTTCAGAAAGTATTTGACAACCTATGCCTCCTGCAGTAGCAATTACTTAAAAGTAAATTCATCAAGTATAAAGGAGGAATTTGTTTGATCCTCTCTTGCATCTTGACCGAACTGACAGAAGTCAAACTGCTTAGACATGTGGAAGAATACATATTTTATGTATCAAAACATTTGTAATTTACTCGGCCGTAATTTATGCCATATTTTTATAGAAATCAGATTTTTAAAAAAGAGGGTCCCTGATTCCAGCTCATCCCACATTCAAACTGTATAGGTTGTTTGGTGGACATGACTGGATGCATAGTAATGGTGCCTGTAGGAGAGCTAGCTGCTTCAGCTACTTGTCGCAGTCCTATCCAGTAACATTAGTCCACAAGAATGTTCTATGACGGCTTGCTATGGCCAGTGTAGATAAGGGGGGGATGGTAGTGAACCTGGGGGAAAAAAACTCAGAAATTTTCTAGAAAAAACTTGGGAATTCCCAGAGCTCAAAAAGTTGAACAACTGCAAGAAAAAATCTTTCAGATTAATTTCAGAAATTTTCTAGGGAATAATTTGGAAAAAGCAACATGCAGCACATTTGAACTATTGTAGCAATAGTGTGAGGTTGCAAGGGAAACAATGAAGCAGAAGTGTAACTTTGGTTAACTTCTTCGTTTTGTCTGCTTTTCCTCTGGTCACAGATCGACGGAACCAGGTTGTTTAAAGACGTGAAGGCGTACTATGCGGCGGTGAAAAGTGAGTTTAAACACATTGCATGTGCTGCGTGCAGGCTGGACGTCGGCCTGCACTAATGAGGCGAAAAGAGAAGTGAATTTGTTAGATTTCTAAATTCTGATGGCTTTCGCAATTCTGTCTACGTTGCTGGGCTGCAGGACAGAAAAGCAAACTGTTTAAAAAAAAATCAACAGACGCAGCGCTGCATGTCTGACTCATTCAGTCAGGAAACAACAAGCTGTTTGACACAATGCCTCCTCAGAGCTCCGTGCAGCTGAAGCTGGTGGAGTAGCGATATGTTTTCTGATGACCTTTCTAAGACCTGCAACGCTTTTCCACAGCTGTGCATGAAACATCCAAGAGGCTGTCCCTGACCCTGAGAGACGTGTATGAGTCAGACTGGGACGGCATGGACGACCTTGCTGTCATTACAGAGGTGAGGCTTTTGTTCATTATGATACCTAATGTGAAATTGTGCATAATGAAGTGGAATAATGGCTTATGGTTGTTGAAATATATTTATTAAAAAAAAAAAGAAAAAGAATAGCATTCATTTTTTTTGTTTAGACCTCCTTATTTTGCTACTTCTATATAAGATGATGCTGGATTTCCCTTAGTGTATTATAAGCATGGCGGGTCACCAGGCTTTCCTTATGCCCCCACCAGGCTAAACATTGCTTATTTATTTGTCTTTTTAAAATGTTTGCATTTTTTAAGACTTTATAGTTGGTGTTCAGGTATTAATCTTCCATTAACACATAGTCATTAAGTGATACTTTCAAGTTTCTTGTCAACTTTAAGCATTTTTTGCTAACACTCTATTTGACAAGGTGGGCATAAGACTGACATGAGGCTGTCATAAACATGACACACCTGACTCCTTCATAGTACTTAACACTATGAAGGAGTATTTATGAATGTCTGACTGTTGTCATGAAGTGTCATTCAGTAAATATTGACACTTTTAATGCAAAGTTGCTTTAAAAGTTGCTTCGAAAGTCCATTAAAAGTGCCGACTTTGCATTATTTTGCAACTTAATGCAAAGTCGGCACTTTTAATGGACTTTCAATGCAACTTTTGAAGCAACTTTGCATTAAAAGTGTCATTATTTACCGAATAACACTTCATGACAACAGTCAGACATTCATAAAAACTCCTTCATATTCATGGCAGATGTTGCGTCATGTTTATGACAGTCATGTTGGTCTTATGCCCACTTCGTCAAATAAAGCTTTACCCATTTTTAACTCAAACACGACGGGCCACTGGATGAATGACTGTCTGGAGCCCAACCACCAGGCTTAACAAGTTTTCTGGAGGAAATCTTGTGATGCAATTCTAAAATTTGATAAATTTGTTGAACATGTCGCATGTTGACATGAACAAAGGTTTTGAATGAGAAGGAAGAAAAAATATTGAATAATCTACCCCTTTTCTCAAAATTCAGCTTGCCACACAATGATCAACTAAACATCAACTGACCATCCACAAAGTTACGTCTTTAAACACGAAACAGGCAATGTTAACAAAACAGAACTTGCATCATGTAAGTTCATAAATGCAGCTCCCAGGTCAGCATTTAAACCTGCAGAGAAGTTTTAAAGCAGCGACAGAACCTAAACAAGACTCAAAATCCACTATATTTGGCGTTTATAAAATTGTGGCAAGGGAAAAAAAAAAAAAAAATTCTAAAGAAAGCAGTGAGTATCGTTTTCAGTTTGTCTCAAGCTCTGAAAGAGAAACGGAAAGTATGATCTGTGATCTGAGCAGATGAAACTAAAGTTTAACTTCTTGGCTGAATGTGGAAGATGAGACGCCATCTTGGATAAGAAGGAACGAGGATTCTGTCATGCTGCCCCCTTCATAAATCAAGTCCAGTTAGTTGCTGAAATACAACATGAATTTTTAACATGTTTTTTAAATTTTATGCATTTTTCTATAAGTTTGCTATATTGCAAGTTTTCAGGCTTTAGATCAGTGTTTCTCAACATTTTTTGGTTCTTAATTAAATCCTAATAAGTCAAATTGAGTGTCATGTAGTGCTGTGGTTATATTGTTTCATACTGGATCACCTTCAGCACCAATGTTTACTCTATAAATGAATGCTGTCTATCCATTTTTTAATTCAAATTGGTTCATTTTTCTGAGGGATACACAGTGAGTGTATCGTGATTTTAGTTGCATAAGAGCAATACTTCGTTCTCCATCTATGGAAGCGGGCAGCATCCAGATGTACAATAAAACGCGTTTTAATTCAAGTTGCTGCTTTGACATGATCACAGCACTGCCAAAAACATATGTACAGAAATCCTCAATAAAACAAAATATTTGAAAATCAGAAACCAGACAAATGAATCACAGCAATGTCATCAGCTGGTGTGAAGCTACCAGAAGCAGGAGAAGCTACAAACACTGAAGAGAAGAAGAGCTGCCATCGATACAATTGCAGCCCAGTATTTTTAATGTTATACAAAACAGTTTTAGCAAGTTGCTCAAAGTCTAATCTAGTATTGTTGTGCATATAAGGTGTGAAGTTTACCTTAAAGCAAACGCCCACCAAAGGAATCCCAGCGCCGCCTTTTGTAAAAATTTCCGCCAGCGCCCCCTGCTGTCCTCTGAACGCCCCTGTTGAGAAACGCTACTTTAGACGGACACTTTTTTAAATTCAAGATTGTTGTTTCGACTTGATGATTATTTTAATGTAGTTTTTTGGACTGACTGACTCTCCTCCTGTGCTTCAGAGTGAGGACTTGCTATGGAACGACTTTGAGGAGAAAATAAGTGACCAGCTCGTCCGCACCATGGAGAACTACACCAGTCAGTTCCCTGAGGTCAAGGTGAGGGAAAATAATAATAATGAAAAAAAAACCGTAATTTATCCCAAAAGGAAATTAAATGTTGTCATGTGAGTTTCTTCGGAGTCGTTGTGGACGGTGGTTCTGTGGTCAGGAATGGCATACAGCAGCTGTTTCCAATACAGATGTGCTTGACCTATCTGTTTCAGATTTTCTAGACACTTTGTTTTCTCAACAAATAAACAAATCAAAATAAATTCTACGGTTCTAAATCAAAAATTATCCTAATTTACACATCAAAACATGCGTTTAACATTTTATCCAATTGTTATAAGACCTCTGTCCTGTCACTTTTTATTTTTTTGTTAACTCATTGTCTTTTTGGGGTCATTGTGATTGTTCTTTATCTTTTTCAGGACCGGGTTGCAAAGCGTGGACGCAAACTAGTGGACTACGATTCAGCTCGTCACCACCTGGAAGCTCTGCAGAGCGCCAAGAAAAAGGACGAAGCCAAAATCACCAAGGTAACGTAAATTAGCATGGTAGCTCAAAGCTGGGATTTCGTTTTTTTTATTTTCCCAACATTCTTTCCAACCCTGTTTATCAGGCAGAGGAGGAGTTCAACAAAGCCCAGAATGTCTTTGAGGAGATAAATAACGAGTTGCGGGAGGAGCTGCCTGTTCTCTACCAGAGGTATCAGCAGCAGTAACTCAACACAGACTCAGATTAGCTGGAATTTGTGTGGAAAGAAAGAAAACTTTGTTTCATGGACGAAGTTCGAATGTGATCTGGTTTCTTTGTGTCTGCAGTCGGATCGGCTGCTATGTCACCGTGTTCCAGAACATCTCGAACCTGAGAGATGTCTTCTATAAAGAAATGAGCGTAGTAAGAAATCTCACCCCTGCTGTGCGAATGAAAAACTCCAGAAGGTCTTCCTGTAATCATCTTAAGTGTCTTTCTTTTTACAGCTAAACCGGGAACTTTACAATGTGATGAAGAAACTGGAGACTCAGCACTCGGGCAAAAATTTCATCATCAAGGGTTTGAGTAGGTAGGGTAATGCTTTTACATTTGTTTTATTCATGGCTGCGGTGAAGCCCAAAATGAACCAGAGTTTGGTTTAATCTAGATGGTCAGACTCCTTGAACAACCTCTCAACCACCAGTTCAATCATCACTGAGACGGAGAGAAGCAAATTGATAATTCCATGATCAAACCTTGGAGGTCCAAGCCTTATATCAGTTATTGTGGATAAGTAAATTGCTCTACTTGGTAGAGCAATTTAAAAAAATAACAAAAAATATTTGGAGAGATTTCAGAGAAACTGGCCACAGAAGAGACCACAAGCAAAATGACATAATCAGTCGACAACTGGGCGATCATGGTCCTCCCAGGGTCCCACAGCCCCGCCCTTATTCACCCCACATACTGACATGGTTGGAGGAACACACTGCTAATGGAGACACAAATACCAAATGTAGATCTTTGTTCCACACAGCATCATTCCATTGGCCAAACTTTGGACACAAAACCGAGTAAAGCTGCTGACTCTTCTTCTTTTAAGTGTCTCACATATAAGTAATTACATTCATTTGCTTCTACAAGGCAGAGACTCCTCTCTGAAGAGAGGCTGTTCCTGAAGCCACAAGGCTTTGGTAATCAGATAAGCTCTTTGTTTATGGAAAAGATTCTTGCTGTGAAACATGGGAGGGGTTCGGCGCGATGGCTTGATACGGCACAGGTTGGCCTGACTCTGCAGGATAAGACTTAGGAAGATTACAAAGGAATTTCTGGGGCATGTTGTAGTTTTTGACTCATAGCTCTGGTTGTCATTCCTAAAGATAATAATCCAAAATATTGCATAGCAACTCTTTTCTGACAGTAAGAAGCTGTAATCCAGTTTGAGTTGGGTTTATGTTTAATTTTGCTAAAAGCATGACTGCCATTAAACAAAGAAAGCGCTTTGAGAAACACTTTTAAGGAAAAAGGTCTTTGCATAAAGTTCAATATTTTTTTAGCCCAATATGCTGATTTGCAGAAAATGTCATTGAGTGCTGAGTTCTCACCAATCAAGATTGTGCTTCATATTCCTCAAAAATGTTCTAAAAATGATCAAGACTTCATCATTATTATAGTGCTCACAAAAAGGTCAAATCAACTTTAAATGTATACACATTTAATCAACAAAGCCAGCATGTAAAAGCATTGATGCCCTTGTAGGAGCAGCTGCTTGCAACAATGATTTTTACCTCAGAGGTTGGAGGCAATTGGTCTGCAGGCATTAGGCCAACTGACACCAACCAACAGCTCAGCCTGTCTGCACAAATATTTCAGTGTGTGGAGCTCTGCTTTTGGAGAGCGGCTGGACTCCTTGTACACAGAGTTACTCTGGGAAGCATGTTGGGAGTGTGTGGGAGTACAAGACTGCAGCAGAGTGCCCTTCCATAAACTAATGCCTGACACACAGGGGTGCAAATTAGCACCCCCCAGTGGCCAAATGTGGGGAATGGTATGACATGGTGTGTGTGAATTTGAAAATGCACCCACCACTGTGGAGGGTTGGCATTTTGAACAGGAAACGCCAAACCCCCATTGGCATTTTGAACTCCTGTCCAAACTTATATAGGTGGTGGCCTGAGGCAGTCACAATTTAACAAAGTATATAAAAAATTATTTTTATCAACTGCATGGTCCAGTGTGGACGCAGTGGACTTTTATGGACAGGCATTGGGCTTATCCAATGAAATCCCTCAGGAGTGTGAGTGTGTGTCTGGCTGGGGGAAGCCAACACTAAGATAGCAGAAGGTCAGAAAAACACTGGACTAACAAAAGAAGGATGATGATAAACAGAATTAATAATCAACACTTTTTTGGATGTCTGTTAAGAGAATAAATGTGAATTTAAATGGAAAACCTCAAACATTAGGAGGGAAATGGAACGTTTAGAAAACGGCTACTAATACTATTTAAAAATGACCAGAGATTCATCTTCACTAAAAACTTCTGGGGAACCTGGTGCCAAAATGTGGAAATGCTCAACATAAGAAATTATTGCAAAAATGTTGGGGCTGAGTAGTTAGTTAGCTGATAGTAATTATTTAAAATAAATCATGGACACCTTAACAGAAGCATAGCGCAATAAGTTTGTTAAATTATTATGGATAAGTACATAGTATGGTAAACTTCTCGTCAGTAGAATGATTTTCTTAGAGTTGAGAATAAATCATATGTTTTATATACACTGAACAAAAATATAAATAGTGGCCGGTAAGAAAATGTCTCCAGCAGCCACTGCGCCTGCTGGAGTAAGTGTTTAATTTCCGCCCTGGTAAACACAAAGTCAAAGACCTTTGAGTGAGACTTTAGGAAAGTGAAATAAAAAAATCCTTCACAATTTCTTGTTGCTACATCATCAAAGTTTTTACAAGTTGTTGAATTCTTTGTATTTCAATATCTTTAATTTGGCTTGTAATCGCATCGTGTTGTGTGTTAAAGAATCAGTCTGATTTTATTTGATGTGCTCACATTTGTCCCTTATTTGCTGAGCCAATACTCTCTTCTTTCTTCTCAAACAGCTCAACCAGCAAGTCAAAGAAAAGAAAGTCCCTGGCCATCTCCAACCCCATCCCCTGCAACACGGCTTTCCCAGCTGACCACGTCTCCATCCATTCGTCCACCCAAAACGGCAAAGAGGCTGCTCCAACTTCCCCCGTCCAACAGACTCAGGGCATTTCTGAAGACACCCCCCCAGAGGAGAGCGGCGCCCCATCCGAAAGCATCACTTCGTCAGACTCTGATCTCAGCTCCAGCGGTGTGAACACACCCAAGAGGCAATCTGTGTGCGACAATGAGAACAGCAGCAAGAGCACGGGCAATGAGAGTCCAGAGGACCTGGAGGCGGAGCTCGCCATGAATCAGTCAGATGACTCTGGACTCGGGGTGCCAAAGTCTGAGGCAGCCAATCAGGAACTGTCCAGCCCCTCTGATATGGCGGATGGCAATGATGTGCAGAGTCTCGACCAGGGCGCTGGAGACACTCCATCGTCAGAGGAGGCCAAACCCGAACCTCCTCCTGTTCCGGCCCCCCGCCAGTCCTTCCACTCCACAGACCAACAGCCTCTGCTACCTGCCATAGGGGAGGACAAGACGGACATGTTTGACAATCCAGAGACAACAGAGGGGAGAGATGACTTGAATTCTCAGAATCCACCTGGCTTTCTCTACAAGGTCTACATTACTGCTATCCAGTGGCAACACAAAATGAATCTTAAGTTACTTTTCTCCATGTTCTCCCAAAATATATCTGAGTCCAAAACCAAACCCATCATAAAAGAGAAGAGAGAATTCAGATTTTTTTAAATCAAGAAGTTACATATGTTCTCTACTAGATAGTAAAACACCCCATAGATGACTGGAGGCATTCCTTCAAGGTCAACTCGCAAATGCACTGCAGTCTATTTTGTACAAAGTCACATTGATAACAAATGTCAATTTAAAATTGTACATTCACCTTAAAGCTCCCCAGTGAAAACGTGTTTAAAGGTTCTTTACCGTTTGGAGCAGAAAACGGGTTGAGAGTTGATCTCTTGACTGTGTGTTAATGTTTGTTTGTGTCATATCTTTCATTGGAGATGGGACTGCACATGAATATGTCCATTTATTAATAATTCTCACTAATGGACACAACCAAAACAGACAGTATTAACACATGAAAATAACTCAAAAATAGTTCAAATAATTTCTTACAGAAAGTTTCTGTCATGTTTGTTTTAGAGCAGGAATGGAAAACCCACATTTGAACTGTTGAGCTCAAGTTTATGGTACATTTATCTGAAAAACAGAATAGTCTATATAACTCTGAGATATTAAGAGAAATGGAAAACCCTTACAGAACTTTATTGTGTAGCAGAAGGACTTTAGTATTTAAAATGCCACATGAACTGACTATTAGATACATTATTGCAGGGGAACAAAACAATTTCTGAGTTGGAATTGAAAATCTCTCAGCTGCCTTTGAATAAATAGTGAAACTGTTCTTTTCCTCCAGGCGGTGGCGACAGAGAGCAATGAATCGTCTGAAGAAGGCCAGCTGCAGTTTGAACAAGGAGACGTCATCCTGGTGCTCGCTGACACCCAAGAGGTTAGTGTGTGTGTGTGTGTGTGTGTGTGTGTGTGTGTGTGTGTGTGTGTGTGTGTGTGTGTGTGTGTGTGTGTGTGTGTGTGTGTGTGTGTGTGTGTGTGTGTGTGTGTGTGTGTTCTCGTATAGCATATCTTGCCTTACATCATGCTGCTGCTCACATTGAGGATGACACCCTTCCTGTAAACTTTTGACCTAACAAGTCATTTCAGACCAATACTTTGTGGAAACTTGTTTTTTGCCTTCATTTGTAAGCATGCTCTTGAGGAGTTTTTGCCATTTTCTCAGAATATTTTTTTACTGCAAATAAAATAAACAACAAAAATTGTGTTCAGACACTAATTATTTATTTAGACAATCCAGCTCCTCTCTGTCAGTTCCATCCTCAGCATCCTTCTACTGATCATGTCCAAACCATCTCAGTCTGGTTTCTTGGACTTTATCTCCAATATCTGACAGGAGCCGTCAGTCAGCTGCTGACTTACGGCACAATTTTTGTCACACCCAAAGAGAACATCTTGTCCTCAAACTATACTGCCACTCACAGATGCCCACTTCTAACCTCAGCCTTCTTTTAACAACTTTTTCCTATAACTTCAGTGATTGGCTCATCAACTTTCTGCCTCTGTAGATTTCTCCCTTGTTCTTTAAAATTGGCCCCAGCACAATTCTCCTCCACTCTTCAGACATCTTCTCTCTCTCTCATTGAACACCAGTCAAAACTCACTGCTGTCTCTCCTGAACTCTTCCACTCCTCCACATGTACATCATCTACTCTTCATCCTTTTCTGTCTCTCTTGCTTCTTCCTTACTAATTTTTACTTCCTGATCCAGTGAAGCTGTTTCTTCTTCTTGTTGTTCTGTCATTTTCTTCATTTATCAGCTTTTTAAAGTATGTCATCCATCTTCCTTTAATACTCCTGGTGATTCTCTTCAGTCTCCACATCGTCCTACTTCTTCTTATTTGCTCTCTTTCTTTGTATTCACACTTCTGGTTTTGGTTCTGGTTCTGCTCTGCCTTCCCAGAATCAAAACCAAAAGAGGAGAAGCAGCATTCAGCTTCTATTCACCACAAATTTGGAACAAACTTCACTGCAAGTTGCTTTTGATTAATAATTACTTGTTGGCTACTTCATGATGTTTTCATGATCTAAGTCACTTTGAACTGCTTTGCTGCTGAAATGTGAAACACAAATAAACTCGACTTGAGAGAGGAAGGAAGGCAGGAACAGTTTCAAAACGTTCCTGCGTTCATCTCTCTGTATTTTGTTTTTTCTTTTCTCTCTTTCTACCAAAAACAAGATGACAAAAGTCTTCAGTCTGGTTCTTTGGCCTGAACCCTTTTATTGAAAGATAATTTTGTTTAGATACCGTATAATTCATTTTGCCATTTTTGTTGTTTTGGTTTATTTCTTTTGGATTTTCAAAAAATTTCTTCCAGTTCCAAAGTCAAATGTTCCTTTATGATTGAAAGTTTATTCATCTTTGAGAACATGCTCTTGCTTTATTATAGCATTGCCATTTTTTGACTTGAAACTGGTTTCAAAGTGTATCGATTATCACAATAACAGTTTATCGTCCAGCATAATTTATCATGATGGTGGTAGAAGTGTGTGTTCTAAGCTGTGTTTTCCATCTGTGTGTGTGTGTGGCAGCTGGATGGCCTGTTGAAGGGGATCAGGGAGGAGAGCTGGAAGCAGCACCAGGATCTGGACCACCACTCTGGGTTCTTCTCAGGAAACCTGGTCGGGCCGCTGCAGGCGGACTGAGGCTGCCGCCACTCTGACGTTTCTCCTTCCTCTGAGCTGATACTGGGTCATGATGATACTGACGATGATGATGCAACCTGTGGAACAAACAGAACCAAGCTGATGAACATTACATAAGTGTTGTTTGGAAATGTTCCAGTATTTTCACCTCTTTATGTTTTTACAAGATTTCTACGAGCCACTGTGAAACAATTTTTTGAAGCTATTTTTTAATGTTTTACAAAAAAAAATCAATAAAGTTCTAAATGATGGGGGGAGATTTTCTTTTCTTTATTTTTTTTAAAGTAAGACCTAGGTTAATACTAAAATAGATTTAAGTGCTGCTATATAACTGGGGGATTTTTACAGACTATCTGAAATGATGTGCGCTGTAAACACAAAGACACCTGCAGCTCATCAGCATTTGCCAAGGATGTGAAAATATTTCAAAACTCTGGAAACACACGGGGGGAAAAGAAAGCCAAACTATAAAAACTGAACAAAGATTGAGCTAAAAATGTGTTGGTCAAAAAAAGCCACATTTTGGAAAACCGTTTAATTTTCCTTAATTATGATAGTTTTGGGCTTTCTGATTGTTTTATTACACACATTTTCAATAAAGTACATTGGACATTTGGGCTTTCACCTGAAGAGAAAATAACCATTCAGCCCAGGACACATTTGTAAGCAAGACTGGTTAGAAAAAAGGACCAGTTCTTTTTTAAAATGAGAACTGAACATTTACAAGCCATAGAATTGTGAAACAAAGCCACCTTGTTCAGTTGTGTTAAACCTGGGGTGCTCAAAGTGTGGCCCAGGGGCCGTCTGTGGTCCCCTGCAGTATTTCATTCGGCCTCTGACCACGAAACCTGGATGGAGCAAAGTTGATTCAGATGGACACTTTATTTTTACCATTTATTGTCAGAGACATACACTGCAGGCCTGCATTTGTATTGGGAATTCATGTGAAAAAAAAGCATAATTATAAGGTGAGCGATCCAAGGTAAAAACATGTCTGCCGACCCCTAAAAAGTCTTAAATTTATGCATCAAATTAAGACCTTAAAATGACTTAAATTCATTTCAAAAAGCAAGTTGGTTCTGTATATGTTGATCACAGGTCTGAAATTTTCTTTTGACAGGATTATTTTATTTCGAGTACATTCTATGTATTTTGTTTTCTCGTCAGGCTCAAGGTTAAGTCAGGCAGACGCTTTGCGTTCTGTGACTCTCTGGTCACAGACTCGTTCTAGCTAACTAGCTGTTGTGTCGTCTACCTTATTATGTGTTAAAGTTTATCGGCAGCCATCTGGATGGAGTTATTGCGTATCCTTGGACATATAGGTCTTAAATTTCTTTAGTATTGGCCTGGAAAAGTCTTAGATTTGAGTTGGTGAAACCTGCATTAACCCGATGGTGCAAAACCTTTTTATGATTTAGATCTACGATGATTTACAGATCCCATGTCTGCAAAATTTTTTGTTTGAATAAGATCCTGCATGGTTAGTTTATTATTGAGCAGATTAATGTTTATTTTTAAAATTCTCTTGTGAAAAATAAAAGGATTATGCTCCCTCCCCCTCAAGTCCTTTCGACTTCACAGTTTTGGACCATGTGGCAAAAAGTTTGGACTCTTCTGATCCCAACAGCTGGTGATCCGTTTTTTTGTTTGTTTGTTTTATCAGGGGGTTTATGCATACTTCATATACCTGCACAGCCATGAAGAGATTGATGTTAAAAGGAGATACTCTCAGTGGAGCACTGTGGGCTTTGCTCCAGTCTGAATCTAATTTATTGTTACTTGTCTTGTGTTTTTTTCAGAACTGGGTGAGGACATGTCAGAGGCTTGTTTCCTCCCTGCTTACCTCGCGCTGCTCTGCTTGTTTGCAGTGTGAGATTTCCTTTGGGCTCCTCTGAGGTCAGCCGGGGCTCCGTGTTGCCATGACGCAGCTCCATCAGTACGCAGCGTTAACATGAGGAGGCACACGGTGGATAAACACAGAAAAAGTTCCCCTGTCAGCTACGGAGTCTCAACCCCTGCATGGTCGCATTCTTCACCTTTGTAGAGTTCACCCTGTGTAAACACCCTGAGCTGATATAAAAAGTGATTTAAGCTTCCATTTCACATCGATTGAACATCTCTTAAACAAGCCTCTGGCAGAAGCGCCACAAAGCGCCTCACATGGGAGACCGCAGGAGAACAAGTTGCTCTCTGTGGAAATGAACAGAGGAAATGTTTAATACGTGTTTCTTCCTGAAACGATATTCCTCCACACTGCGGGCAGAGGCACGACTGGTAAGGGTGAGGTCAGAGGACGCGGTTAGGAAAACAACATTAGCAGGAATGGACGTGTATGCAGCTCGGTGCTTCTGGGAGCTAACCCAGTTCATCTTCTACCTGAAAAACTGATGCTAAAGCTAACTGACTCCTGACTGGTTCTGCTCATTTTCACAGATTTAAAGGGACAGTATTAAAGCTGACTTTTTTGAGCATTACATCATTGTATTATTCCCCCATCAAAATCATGGGGGAATGTTGTCTTGATTTTTTTATGCATTTTTGAGAAAACCTTTAATCTCCTGTGCCAAATTTGCAAGATACCTGCTGACCCTAGCTCCTCCAGGGAGCTGCAATTCCCAAGCTTCCAAGTTTCCACATCACAGCTCCTCAGCTCCTTCAGACTAGCCAGCAGCAATTAGCAAATGCCTGTTGGAACTGTGTATCATATGAGCTCATTAAACCAGCTATCACTCAGTCCAATGCAGGTAAAAAATATTGTTCAAGGGTTAATAGAGGAGCCATGTTGTGATGACTTCCTGAAGGGGGAGTTTCAGGAAGAAACAAAATAGCACTGTGTGACTGGTTCTATCAAATTTAGTGCATTACTGATAATTTCTTCTCCATATTATGAGAGGTGAGTTTCAGTGGAGTTGTCATGGCAGTAGAGATGTTGGCATGTTGTTGGAATATTAAATACATTTTCAAAGTGGAGGAAGGCTAACAAGCTGGTTCACTATTTTCACCTTCCATCTGAAAACAATCTAAAAACTACATTTTGTGTTGTCTTTGACTAATGTTTACATTGGTTTGATGTTCCGAAACATTAGAATGTCAAAAAAGTGCAAAGAAAATTTGAAAATCAGAAACTAGAACTAAATACATCTGATCTGAAACGGTCACAAATTAATTCATTTTCTATAGAAAGCAACAGATTAATGTAGAGGTTTAGGAATATATTCTATCTAAAGGAATACTTCTGCAATATTTCCTATTAAGTTAAAATTGTGTAGAATCCCAAAACCAATAGCACCTGTTGAAAGAAAGAAAAATTAGGAAACTAATCCAATAATCTGGAAAGTAATTAGATTTTCACTGTTTTCTTTTCTTTTTAAAGGAGTAAATTCTCTGTCACTGGACTGCATTGTACAGAGCTTTTGTTTTGTCGTGAGCTTAAACTACAATTATTTTTATTCATTGAAAATTAAAACTGTTTCTCATGCTGTGAGTATTAGGGAAAAAAACTTCCTTGTATAGAAACAAGCCAGATCAGATCATTACAATTAGAAGAACAACTACAGGCTTCCCCGTTTCCCGTAGTTTAAACATGAACTCTCTCCTTCTTCCCACGTTTTTGGCTAATCAAGTAATTAAGAGCCACATTGGGCCCCAGAGATACAGTTCACAGACCCCTAGCCTGTTGTCATGGCTCCACACATGAGCAATTTCAGGTTTTTTAAATACCCATACATGGACTTTAGAAAGTACTGAGCAGAATTCCCCCTCCCCCTCAAAACTCACACATTAGCAACCATGCCGCTATTTTAATTGTGATAATCATGTTGCTCCAGTGTGTTTGGGTGGCCCTGTGTATGTTTGTAAGTGTGCAGCAAAGAGTCCTCCATTATTCAGAACCAGCAGCAGCCTGACTCATACGAAGGGTGCATCTCTTATCGCCCCTTTTTCTGATATAATGCAGACATGTCCTTTATGTGTGTGGGTGTATGCGTGTGTGTGGGTGTATGCGTGTGTGTGTGTGTGTTGGAGCACCTTTGTATGCGTGTGTGTGTAACTTTTGGCAGTCTGTGGTGGTTTTGGCTGTGAAATGTTCTAATTTTCTCCACATGGCTGGCTCCATGGCTATTGGAGAATGAAACCTTTAAACTTTACAAGCACCCGTGTGGAAAAGTAACTTCAGCCAAGCTGAAGAGGTGTTTCAGAGAGCTTCTGTTACTCAGACCTTTACAATTAGCTAGCTAACGTAACTGGAAAAGCAGCCATTAAGCTTTTCTGCAGCTTCATAGCAGTCTTCGGCCAGAAACATACTGGTTTTCCACAGGCTGGTGCCAAATCTGTTAAGATCACCCGATGCTCATTTCCCCTCCTCATTTCGTCTTTGAAAATTAGCTTAAAAGACACAGTGCAGTCCACAGGGTCCATAACAGATGGGAATATCACTTCCTGTCTCCATGTTTCAAGTTCGTATGTTTATTGTTTACTAGCTTACTCCGGATGAATCTTTACAAAGTAATCTTTCTGCAATGCAGGATGACATCCATCTGCTACTGAGTTTCTTCTGGTTCGCTTTCTGTTATGGAAAATGGTAAAAGTAAATGTTTCATTTGAGCTTGATGTGCATTTCCTGGTTCGGAAAAGCAACAGTCGATTTAGAGCAGGGCATGTGTTTGTATCTGATAAGTCATTTTAAAAGCACAGCTGGGATTTTACGGCACTCGGCTGACGATTGGCCACCGTAATTTGACATATTTCAGGATGCAGAGCCACACCACAGGAAGGGACGGTTCAGAAGTTAACCAAATAGTGGATTCTACAGAAAAACAAACATGTTGTAGGGTAAAGAGGACCTCTCCCAAAGTTCCTTCGTGTTTTTAAAAATCTCTAAATAAAACCATTCAGGCACTCTTCATCTAGTTTACATTATTAAAGTGTTTAATTGCCAGTGGCACTCCCCTGTGCCAGGCATTTTTCAGGCCCGGCATGAAAAATGCTGACGTCCCCACTGGCACTTTTTTAAAAAAGATGTTGATAGGTTAAAGACTGAATCTGTTTTATTTGGGTCTTTTTGATTAACAAAAGATTAAATATATTTGAGAAGTGGAAAGAAAAAAGTTAGGGTTGCATATGAATCAATGATTCTCACCACATTTTGCTGTATTTATAGTAACTTGTGGAAGCTTCTGTGATCAATACTCTGCTTACCCAGCCTGACTGTTAGGTGGAAGGTCAAGTATCATAGTGATTATAAATTTTCTACATA